CGCGCGTGCTTTCCCCGTGTGCGTGCGTGTGTCAGTGCGCGCTTCCCCCATGGGCGCGTCCGCGTTCACTTTCCCTGTGGGGTGTGTGTGTGTGTGTGTGTGTGTGTGTGTGTGTGTGTGTGTCCCCGCTCGCCTCCCCCATGGGCGCGTGTATGTCCGCGCGTGCTTTCCCCGTGTGCGTGCGTGTCAGTGCGCGCTTTCCCCATGGGCGCACGTGTCCGCTCGCTTCCCCCATGGGCACGTGTGTGTTCGAATGCTTCCCCCGTGGGCGCACTTAGTCCTTACGGTGCGCGCTTCCCCCTCTATGTGTGTGCGCTTCCCTGTACGTACTTGCTTGCGTGCCTGTCCCTTACGTGGCTTCCCAGCAGGTCGCACTTCCCCCTTTGTGCGCCCTGGCTTCCCCGCTTGTTTGTGCTCACTTCCCCTCCACCTTAGTCACTTCCTCAATCCCGGTGCCCCTTTCCCGGATGTGCGCAGTGCACTTCCCCCTGTGTGTGCGCGCGCGTGCCTGTTTCCCCCGTGTGCGCACCCGCGCTCGTTCCCTGGAGCTGCTCGGATGGTGAGTGGTTTTGATCGCATACCGTCTGGAAGCGCCGCCCCCCACCACCACCCGACCTGGGTTCAGTTCCCCAGGCTGCTGTGAAGCCAGCCACACCGTTGTTACTTCCCAGTGAGCTTCTGCTGTTCGGAAGTGACACAGGACTGCGGGCTTCCATGTCTCCAAAGGGCAGGATCTGCAAAGTGTGGTGGAAGCGGACCTGGCCACGGAACTCTTAGCCCTACAGTTAACACCCAGTATCAGAAAGTAGTTCACCTCCAGAAAGAATGAAATACCCGTCGGAGACCACTAAGAGGACAGGCGTTTACCCTCCTCCTTTGTGACTAAAGTGGGTGGTGGGTGCACACTGACGGATAGAGGGAGCTCCAATGCAGCCAGTGGCCCCTGTGGTTTGCAGACTTGCTGTGATGGCCCTGTGGTCTCCAAACGAAAGCCCCTGGGGCTTGAGGAGCACAGCTGAGAAGCGGAGAGAGGAGTGGCTGCTTCTGTCCCTCTTACCCAGCAAGGGTTCATGTCAGGGCAGATCTAGCCTGGGGCTCCTGGAGCTTGACGCCTGCCTCGGTGCTGTTCTCTTCGAACTGTGCACATTTTCCAAGCATGTCCTAGTAGCCACTGCCGCTGGGTCCATGTCGACCACGGCGGCCCTGGCTGGTTTCTGAGCCTGTGTGTAGGTGCTTACAGAAGCCAATGCTGCCTCAGAGCGGGCTCCACACTGCCTGTCCCCTCTTAGCAGCCGCTCAGAACCACAGTGCCCCTCGAGGCTGCGCATATTTTTACTAGACAGAATTTGATGGTGTAATTAAAGACAATTTACTTTTTCTGGTCTTGGAATGGAAATAGTAATGGGCAAAAAGGTATTTATAGTTGAGGGTTGGCATGTGAAAACATCTGTAATGTGGTAGTTAGTCCAGGTGATGTGTAAGCAGTGTCTCCGTGTGGCAGTACGGTGATCCGACCCGCCTTTCTGTGAGTGCAGAGAAGCTGGAGAGTCGGTGAGAGGTGACGTGCTGGGGACCCCTGTGGCCTCACATCCGCCCTGCACACTGAGTGCGTTACTTGATGATAGATGTTTTCTCGGTGTGCTCTAAGATAATGGATCTTCATTCAGTTCTGATCTTATTTTGCTATCTCAGCCTCCAGCTGCACCAACAAGTAGAAATTATGCAGAAATGAGGGAAAAGCTTCGCTTGCGCTTGACCAAAAGGAAAGAAGAACAACCTAAAAAGGCGGATCCAGTCTCGGAAAGGGAGAGTGTAGTCGACCATCGGAAGGTGGAAGACTTGTTGCAGTTCATCAACAGCTCGGAGACCAAGCCAGTGAGCAGTACTCGGGCCGCCAAACGCGCACGGCACAAGCAGAGAAAGGTGGGCAGCGGTGGCCGTGGTCTGTGGGGTTCACTGCGGGGGTGCGGGCGCCCCTGTGGGTCTCAGCCCAGAGCCAGGGGCTGTTTAGAGACCCCACTGTGCTCAGGAAACCACTTGTCCTTGAGTGTCAGAGGCTTGTAAACGGTACCAACTACACCGAAGTGAGAGGCATAGACCGCACTCAGAGTCTTTGTGGCCACCCTCCCTTTTCTTTTCTGTGGGGATTTCTCACAGGGCAAGTCCAGGGTCCTCATGTCACCTGCTGTCAAAGGATGCCCAAGACGGTAACCTATACCAACCAGCCGCCAGCGTGGAGGATGGCATACGGCTGGGTGACGTTCCCGTGCGCGAAGTCCTGTGCTGTCTGGTGCCCTTGCGCCTCTCCTTCTATGCGCATAGCAGATTACCTACGTGTTCTGTTGACCCCTCCTTCAAACTCACGCAGAATGTGACCACTTCTCAATGAATAAATACTGAATGAACAACATAAAGAAAGGGAATATTCAGTAGAAAATAACAAATGTAGCCACTGTGGAAAGTTACAAGGGATTTCCCTCTGAGCTAGTCTAAAGGGTTGGAGTCTCTTGGCAACCTGTGAGATGGATTTAAACACAGGATAAAGACTGGAGATGTTTAGTGTGAGAATAAGGAGAAGGGGGCGTATATGTGTGGAATGAAAGGGAGTGAAGGCCGCATGGAGACACTGCTGGCTGTTCTCCAAGGAAAAAACCAACAAAAAACGCCCAACAGCCAGATCTCAGTGGGCAGATCGGGGCTTGGTGTGAGGGGAGCACATGAGGATGATAGGGGCCGAAGACACTGGTCAGGAGAGGGAGCTGTGCGGGCTGGACCCCGTGTCCTGGTGCGGCTTCCAGCCAGCAGTATGTGACCTGGACCTGTTGTCACTGTACCACTGACCAGGGTAAGCACCTAGAGTGTCGCCTGTGCTTAGCTTCCCCACCACCGTCCTGACCTGGTCTTCACTGACCACTCGTTCCTTGCTGGTCACTACGAAGGCCCTCCCCAAGGTCACTGGCCACTAGGTCGGGTCCTCACCAAGTCATGTCCTCATCTAGGTCCTTGGTGACCATCGAGTCAGGTCCCCACCTAGTCCTTTTCACCCCTCAGTCTCATCCTGACTTGGGTCCTCATTGGCCACCAGGTCAGGTCACCTCCTGGTTCTTGTTGGCCACTGAGTCACATCCTAACCTGGGTCCTTGTTGACCACTGGATCAGGTCCCCACCTGGGTCCTTACTAGTCACCAAGTCACATCCTCACCCAGGTCCTCACTGACCACAGGATAGGTGCTCTTCTAGGTCCTTGGCGGTTGCTCAGTCACATTCTCACCCAAGTCCTCACTGCCGCAGGTCTCGTCCTAGTCCTCGCCTGGGCCGCCTGGCCAGGGTTTTGACCTGGCTGTAGGGCTTCAGGGAACACACTGAGTGGAGAACGGCTGTGGGAATCCACAATACCTTGCTTCGGGAGCAGCAGCGCCTGGGCTTCCAAGGTTCACCCAAACCCACTGCTCTCAACTTGATCTCCTGTCCTCTCTCCTCGGGACTTGGGGGACTGGCTCGTGCTGCAGCTGGTCCGCCCTGAAGCCAGGCTGAGCCTTTAGAGCAGGGGCCAAAGGTCACTGTGTTGGCCTCTGGGGTTCCCTGGCTCACCAGCTTTTAGGTGCTTGTCACAGACCTGCTGTGTGTGCAGCCTCCTCTCCATGCTGTGAGAAGGGCGGCATAGCTGCTTGGGGAGCTGGCTTCCAGGTGCTTCCTGCAGCAGGTTCACCATGTGGTACATGTGATGACACTCTGCTGAGTGCCCAGCCAGTGTCCACCATGTCCAGGACACAGAACGAGCTTGTCCTCGAGAGGCAGGCCGCAGCTAGTGTGCTCCATGACGGCTACATGCTGGAGGACGGGGCTCCATGCTGGTTGTGCAGGGCTCCATGCAGTGGATCACGTGGTAGAGGGCCGGGCTTCACGCAGGCCACGTGCTGGAGGACTGGGCTCCATGCTGGTCGTGCAGGGCTCCACAGTATGCTCCACGCAGGCCACATGGTAGAGGGCTGAACTTCACGTGGGCCGTGTGGTGGAGGGCTGGGCTCCGTGGTGCGCTCCATGCTGGTCGTGCAGTTGAGGACTGGGCACAGCGTGCTCCACTCTGGCCACATGCTAGAGGGCGGAGCTCCACAGTGTTTTCTGTCATGGGGTCGAGGACTGGGCATGGTGCACGCCATGCTGGATAGACAGTAGAGGGCTGGCTCCACGGTGCTCTGCATGCCTGCCACGTGCTGGAGGACTGGGCTCCACATGGGCCACATAGCAGAGGGCGGAGCCCCACAGTGCTCTCCACGCAGGCCACGTGCTGGAGGGTGGGACTCCATAATGCACTTCACGCGGGCCACGTGGTGGAGGGCAGGGCTCCATAGTGCTGTTCATGCGGGCCGTGTGGTGAATGGCAGGGCTCCGCACAGGCCATGTATTGGAGGGCTGGACTCCACAGTGCTGTCCACTGCTGGCCGCAAGGCTTGGCTTCATGGTGTGCTTCCACGTGGACCATGTGGTGGAGGACTCAGCCTCACGGTGACCCACACTGGTAGAGGAGGAGATGGCCACACACTCCCGCTTGCTGGGCTGAGGCAGCCCCCTAGGAAAAGCCAGAATCTGAGTGCTTCTCACTTTCACGGCACTGTTAAACATTTTGGTGGGATTTTACACTGGTGTTTTCCGAAAGATGAGTTAAATTAATTTAGAATATGTTCTTACTGAAACAGTAAAGATTGCTGGGGAATGGTTTAAACTGACAGAAGATTCTTTAACGTCTCCTGTGGACCCAGGTTTCGCTCGTTTATCCAGAACACTCACCTTGCGGGACTTGAGTAACGAGGAACGGGCCGCATCCCTTGTGGACAGGGCAGAGGCTCCTGCCCCGCACCTGGACACATGGCTGTGGGTTTCCCAGCATGCCGTGTGGCGGCACTTGGCCTGTCCCCTCCTTCTTGTGAACACACATTGAGCAAGATAAAATTGGGGTGTTGCTGGGCAGGGGTTTCATTCTGGCCCCTTCTGGAGTTGTGTGCGGTGGCCTGCTGGGTGGCCTCGTGTCTGGCCTGCGCCCGCACTAACCACCATGTCTTGTCTGCAGCTGGAGGAGAAGGCCCGCCTGGAGGCAGCGGCCCGTGAGCGGGAGCACCTGCACGCCCTGGAGGAGCGCCGGCGCCGGGAGGAGGAGGAGGAGCTGCAGCGACTCCAGGAGCTACAGCAGCTGCGGGCCGTGAAGAAGAAGAAGAAGGACCGGCCCAGCAAAGACTGCCCCAAGCTGGACCTGCTGGCCAGGGAAGTGGACACAGTCCCCGAGACCACACCTGCCTCGGAAAGCCTCCCCAATGGCACCCTGGAGCACACTGAAGACCCAGAGACCTCATCTCGCTCCCCCTGCAGACATGTGAACCACGCCGAGCCACGGCCAGGGCCGGACGCCTCCGAGCCCGCCGACGCCAGGGACTCGCGGCCCCTGCCCCGCAGGGAGCTCAACGGGAAGCAGCACGAGCCACTGTCCTTTCTGTTCGACATCATGCACCGTCACAAAGAGGGTGGCAGCAAGGCCAGGCTCCGGCCGGCCAGCAAGCCCAGCAGTGAGCCCTCGCGGAAGCCGGTGGACGGCTCCCGAGCCCCGGAGCCTGTGCCCAGGGCCCGGCCGCAGGCGGAGCCCAAGGTGAAGGCTGTGGACCTCGCTGCCCTCACGGAGCAAAAGCGAGAGGAGAGAAAGGTCAACAGCAACAACAACAACAAGAAGCAGCTCAATCACATCAAGGAGGAGAAGTCCCAGCCCGTCCCCACTGAGCCCACCTCACCCGCCGAGTGCCAGTCCAACGGCAAGCTGGTCCTGGCAGACTCACCACAGCCCAAGGGCAAGAGCAAGAAGAGCAAGAAGAAGAAAGGGGAGCGCGCCAGCAGCTCCATCGGTAACCACGGGCGGGGCGTGGGGCGTAAGGTGGGGCACAAGGGAATCGGGGCATGGTGGGGAGGGCATGGGGCACGAGGGGTGTGAGGCATGGGGGGGTAAGGCGGGGCACAAAAGGGTATGATGCATGGGAGGGGGTGCAGAGCATGGGGAGCCTGGGGCACAGGTGTCTAAGGCGGGAGGGCACGGGGCGTGGAGCACCGGTGGGTAAGGCAGCTCTGGTACATGCTGCCTTTGTCTCTGGCTTGGTCTTTCTGGTGGCCTTTCACTAGTGAGGGACACGGGTTCTATACTATTACAGGAATTGTGTAATACTCTCTTCACACAGTTGCGGGACTAGACCATGCCCATCAAGTGAACACCACAGAGTGAGGGTGACAGTGCAAAATGGAGCAGGGACACAAACGCCTGATCCGGGCAAGCCTGTCCCTGACCTTCTGCTTGTTAGAACTGCAGTCTGCAGAGCACAGTGAAGTGACAACCATCTCTCTCACACACACACAGGAGCCCCGGGCTGCCTCAGCCTCACAGGGCTTCCTCACACTCGTCGTTTGGCGGTGTTCGGGTGTCTTCCTTCTGGACTTTGAGCTGGTGGCACTCCCTCCACCGTCCGTCCCTGGGCGAGAGCTCTGGCGGTACAGTCCGTGTTGCGGGCACTGCGAGTCCGATCCACCAGCTGCTGCACAGGAGGGAGTTCGGCCATCCTGCCCGGAGTCCAGCCACAAACCTCCCTGGATGCTCAGCGGGGAGGTGGTTCCGACCCGGCACCAGTGAACTGCACCTTTTCTTTTTTTTCCACCTTTTTCCCTTAAATCAGCATGCATCTCTTCAAAACAAGGATGTTCCCTTATAAAATCGCAGGGTGGTCATCAAAGTGAAGAACTTGACAGTGGTGGAATATGACCGTGTAGTTGCCTCCTCCTCAGCGGTTTGTTGGCGTCCTGCTGTCTCTGCTGAACTAAGCCCCGTCTCCACGGCACACCTTCTTCACCTCATTTAACGTGCCCAGTCCTCTGCTGGCCTTTGTTTAAGACTGTCCTTCAGCCGGGCCTGTCTGCTTGCCTGGCTTCTCACTCTTGAGTTGTCCCTGGTGTATGACGGACAGTGTGTTTGTCCTGTTATGGTGACACCAGTCCTGACCTTCTCTAGAGATGGCCTGTGCTGCTCAGGAACCCTGCTCCAAAGATCTGTCACAGGGAGATGGCCATGGCCATCGATGTGAAGTAGAGTCAGCCCCCAAAAGCGTCATGGGCTACAGTGGTTTAATGCGGTCGTTAAGAGCTGACTGCTTTCCGTCTGTGTTTGTCCACGTCGCTCCGGTGCCCTCCCTGCTGACACTGAGTGTGCGTGCTGTGACAGCAGCACTACACAGAGATGGCCTCCTCCTACTGTCAAGTTGGCGCTCTCACAGCTGGCCCTGCAGTGGGTTTTCAGAAGCAGCATGTCACATAGGAGATGGCCCATCTTTTCTCCACGGAGCAGCTGGGGGATTCGAACCACACGCCTTCAGTTGGGCAGTGCAGGTCCTTACCCTAGGCTACCAGGGCTGCGTGGGCTGGCTTACACACATGCATTCTCACACAGTTGAGAAGACTTAGAGGCCCTGCTTCGAGCACTGTCTCTGGGGGACACTTCTCTCTGAGGGCTCTTTGTCTTTTCCTCTGTTCCCCGGTTCCTTGGGGAGCCCTGTGTGACTTGGCACTCATGGTCCCTGTCTCTGCTTGTTCAGTCTGCTGCTGCCACATCTTGTGAAACAATTGACTCAGGACACCCTTACACTGATCCTGCCCAGTCGGTTCCATCGTGGGTGGGCAGTGGCCATGCTCACGGGTCAGGCTCAGCGGCGTGGGGCTGAGGACGTGGCGATTTGACACCTTGTTGGACCCCTTGCCCCTCATGGCTTTTCTCAGTCACTGCAGCCTGACTGCCATAGTGCTTGGCCACCGGCATGTCAGCTCCACGGACCTCATTCCTGGGAGAGCCTGGAACGGCCTTTGCCGGATGCGGTGAACTTAGAAAGTCGTTTAAAAGACTTACCGTCTTTACAAGCTTGATCATCCCACTAAACGCTCAGCAACTAAAAGATTAAACAGAGCTTTCTCAATCAATTTGTCCCCTGACTGTCCACCGAGCGGTAGGAGAACCACGTGTTAGATCTCAGCCCGAGTGTCCCGACCGACCGTCCACCGAGCGGTAGGACCGTGTGTTACTGTTGAGTACGTGGAGTGAGGCTGATCTGAGTTGACACGTGTGATGAGTACAGTGCACACACTGGATATTCAGAACCCGAGACCAGTGCTCTGGTAGCCTAGTAGGTAAAGTGCTTCGCTGCCAGTCTGAAGTCAGGCTTTCAAATCCACCAGCCACTCCAATGAAGATAAACTGTGTCCTCCTGTGTGACTTACAGCCTCTGAAAACCCGCTGGAGGGTCAGCTGGAAGTTGGTTCTGACTGGCAGCAGCAGGAGCACTGACAGTGCAGAGGAGGGTGTCACACGTCCTTAGCGTTTCTTCTGTTGATGACCTAGTCTAATGCTTCCTGAAAATTTATTTTGACTGAAATCAACCTTATCTTGTGCCTCCTTGAAGGCTGTCTCTAGACAGCACAGACGGCTGAGTGCTTGACTTCCGAGAGGTTAGTGGTTCCAGCCTCCCGCCGTGCCAAGTGGAAGGCCTAGAGTCCTTGTGTAAAAGGGCACAGCCTTGAAATCCTGGGGAACAGTGCTCTGTTCTGTACGTGTGGGGTTCCTGAGAGTCGCAGTCGGCTCTGTGGTAACTGAAAGCAGTGACGCTAATGAACAGCTGGCAGGTTCTGTGGGCCGGCGTGTTTGACAGTGATGTGCCGGGCCTGGGGAGCAGGCCTGTCGGGCCGCCGTTTGCCCGGTGTGTGAGCCTCGTACTGTCAAGGGCTCAGGCCTGGGGAGCAGGCCTGTCGGGCTACCACTTCCCCGGTGTGTGAGCCTCACACTGTCACAAGCTCACTTCTGTGCGGTTGGGCACAGCACATGCCTGTGTCTTACTCTAGTCTTATTAAAAAGTTACTAAAGTTATTTAGAAAAAACAAAACAAAAACTATAAAGTTATTAAAAGTGAAGTCACTTGATTTCTTCTTTTGTGGTTTGACTCACCTTTTTGTTTTGCAGATGACGTGTTTCTGCCTAAAGATATCGACCTGGACAGTGTGGACATGGACGAGACAGAGAGGGAAGTGGAGTACTTCAAAAGGTAACCACCAGCAGCTCGTGTCCAGGGCCTCGCTGGCACCGTGGCCCTTCCGGAGCACCACGAGCCCACCGCTGGGCTGCCGAGCCCGTTCTCCACTGGCCCGCACTTGCACACCAGGGTCTCACCTCTCACACTGGTGCTTGGTTTGTGTGAGAGGAGGGCAGGCCCGCTGAGCAGCCCCTTCCAGCCCCAGAGCACTGGCTTGGCTGGACCCCCAGCCTGTTTGGGTGAGCCTCTCACCCTGCTGGACTGAAGGTGGAGACCGTGGATGAAGGGGTGCTTTGGGTAGAAGAGTCGCATCAGTCTGTCATGTGAGATGCGGTTTTATTTTTGTAAGTGCTGTATCCTCTTTATTTCACCTGAAAAGCACACACAAAGGAAGCACTTACTTTGAATGATAAACAGATGTTAAGTCGTATCTGAAGTATGGCAAAATCCTAAACATGTAAATTCCTTAGACACACACATACATATAAGAAGTTCACCTACTTTGAGTATGTTTTCAGGAGGGACCAGTCTTTGAAAAAAGATGTCATTGAAAGGGTGGCGGGTCAGAGGAAGACTCGGAACCAACTGCATTGGCACAGTGCCTGCACCAGAGGGCTGAAGCCTGTCGGAGCTGGTGGTGGTGCAGGATCGACAGGGTTCCCGTCTGTTGCCCACAGGGTCACTGTGACTTAGAGTTGACCCCAGGGCACCTAGCAACAGCGCTGGGCGCTCCGGTGCTCAATATGTGCGGTGCTGCTCTGTGACCCCAAAGGCCACACAGCCTTCTGGTGGTTACACCCCCCGGTGGCTCCCTGAGAGAAAGCAGGCAGTCTCCTCCCACGCCGTTCACAGCTCCATGACGCTGCCAGGACGTCAAGTATAACTCAGTCCCAACTGGATGGCAGCGAGAGTGTTTTAAGATGTACTTGTGTCAATACAATGCAGCTCTGAACTCATTGCTCACCCTCTAGCAGCTTTTCAGAGACTGTAAATCGCCCAGAAGGAGGTGGCCCCCCTCCCCCCCACAGAGCAACTGGAGGGTATAAACTGCCTGCCTGCCTTTGGGTTGGCTGTGCATCACTTTACAACTGGGCCACCAGGTGGACCACTGGACAACAAGGAGCTCAAAAGACACCTTATCCCCTGCCTCGGGCTCTTCAGTCACAGCCTACTATTCCTTGACGTATTTCTGGTGTTACATCAAGCAGCAGTGGGATCTTACGAACCATCCCCTACCCTCAAAGAAATACAAGTTAACTGAGCCAGGACTGGGTGGGATAAGAGTGCTGGCGAGGGAGGCGGTCTGCGTTTCCAGAGCTGTAGAGGGAATTCAGGTGTACTGGACCAAAATCCCTCAGAATACATAGGGTTCTAAAAGGACCAAGAGCACAGGAGAAGGAAGCAGGCTCTTCTGAGGCTCGGTTCTGCATTGCCAGGATGGTAAGGGGAGCAAAGACAAGGGTGTTTCCTGGAAAGAGACACACACGTGTCCTGGATATAGACCTTAGAACTTCATGCACAGTCAGAGCAGGCCTGCCCAGCTCCCGGAGGAACCATGAAGATTCTCGGGCGCCCAAGGTTTGAGGAAACAATGAAAAAACTAGAAATTTAAAATTCATTTCTAAGACTGACTAGGTGACAAAAGACTGTAGAACAGAGGGTTACTGAGTTAGAAGATATTTAGCAAATGTCTCCAGAAAACATAAGACTGTCAGGGAAATAAATAAGAGATTGGTTAACACGTGACTATCTCAGGTTTTGTGCAAAAGGCATATGACAAAATTCAACATCCTTTCCTGCTAAAACTCTCCACAAAGTAGGAAATAGGAATCAAACTTAAAAGGAAGGAAACAAAGGGAAATGTTTTGATTTCAGAAACAAAAGCATATATGTGTGTATGAATATATAAGCAGTGGCCAGCATTGTTCTTGATGGAGATGTGAACAGGAACCAGACAGGATGTCCCTTATCACCACTCATATTCACTGTTGTCCTGGAAGACCTAGCCAGAGCCGGAAAACATGGAAAAGAGCTACCTGGCATCGAAATGTGCACAGAGAAGGTGAGCCTGTCTCGCTTTGCACATAACATGTTTCTACACAGTGTAATTCCCAAAGACGGCCAGAACATGAACTGCACGTGATAGACTGATTCAGCTGAGTGACAGTACAAAATCCACCTCAAAAAGTCAGATTCCTCTGCAGTAGCAGAGAACTCAGAAACGGAAATATGAATAAGTCTAACCAGAAATACGAAAGACCTGTACCTAGAAAACTAAAATACACTGCTTCTAGCAACCAGAAGAGACTCCATCAATGAAAAACATCCAGGTGCGTAAGAAGGGGCCTCGCTGTGAAAAGGTCCATGTAGGCAACCCTGATCCAGAGTCCATCATCGCTTTTCACATATTTGGAAAAAGTAATCACCAACTCCTTATGAAAGGAAAAGATGCCCCAGATAAGCCAAAAAGAAAAAAATAAAGAGACCCTACACTTCCTCATCTCAAAATCTACACAGCGTAGTAGATCCCCAATAAAACGGAAAACACTGTCTGCAGAGGATAAACTAGATGACGCTCTCATGCTCTCATTTGGAGCGAGAACCAAGTCCTAGCTTCCCCACCATTGGATTTTTGAGCCTGTGCAAAAAACCTAAAGAACAAAAAGATGGGAATGGAACTTGGTGCACTCTCTGCAAATTCGATTGGGCTCTACCTTAGAAGTTTGGACTTGAGATAGCTTTTGATCCACCAGTCCCACTAAGGGGAGGTGGTGTTAGGTGCTGTTGAATCGCTTGTGACTCATAGCAACCCCTGTGTACAACAGCCCTGAGACCTGCCCTGTTCTACCCTCACTACACCAGTTAACTGAATCAGTCCATCTCATCAGTGTCTCCTTCCCTTTCTGTCCCTCCACTCCTTCCAAGCATGACGTCCCTCTCCAAGAACTGTCTCTCCTTGCATCATGCTGAAAGTATGTCAGACAAAGCCTCAGAATCCTTGCCTCCAAGGAGCAGCCTGGCTTCACCCTCTCCAGGACGAACCTCCTTGTTCTCCTGGAAGTCCATAGTGTATTCAGTACTCTTCTCCAGCACCACAGCTCAATCCGTTGTCATTGCCCAGCTCTGACACGAACCTCCTTGTTCTCCTGGAAGTCCATAGTGTATTCAGTACTCTTCTCCAGCACCACAGCTCAATCCGTTGTCATTGCCCAGCTCTGACACATGGAAAGTAATTGCAAAGACTGGCCTGGATTCAGGCACACCTGAGTCTCCAGACTGACATCGTTCCTCTTCAGTATTCTGGAGAGGTCCCTGATGGCCAACTTTCCTAATACAATTTGTCTCTTGATTTCCTGGCTGTTGGTACCAAGAGTGTTGATTGTGGAGCCAAGCAAACTAAAGCTGTTAGCAATCTCGATCTCTTCACTGTCTATCATAATGCTTCCAGTCGGCCCAGTGGTGAGAATCCTTGTTTTCTTGATGTTGAGCTTCAATATATATTGAAGGCTGCAGCAAGCGCTTCAGGTCCTCCTCAGTTTTAGCAAGGAGGGTTGTGTGGTCTACATAATACAGTTTGTTCGTGAATCTTCCTCCAGTCCTGATCCCACATTCCTCGCGTACAGCCCAGCCTCACAAATGATCTCTTCCGCACATAGATTGAAAAGGTATGGAGACAGAATAAATCCCTGGCATCCACCCTGTCGTAGTTTGAACCATGCAGTGCCTCCTGGCTCTGTTCTGACAACTGCCTCCTGCTCCAAGTATAAGTTTCACATAAACACAGTCAAGTGTTCTAAGATCCCCATTCTTCTCAGAGTCAGCCATAGCTTGTGATTTACACAGTCCAACGCCTTTGCATAGTCAATGAAGCACAGATAGACATTCCTCTGGTTCTCTCTCCTTTCAGCCAAGATCTATCAAACATTAGCTGTTATAGCCCTAGTACCACGGCCTCTTCTAAACCAAGCTTGCACATTTGGCAGTTCCCTATTGATGTACTGCTCCAATCGTTTTTGGATAATTTTCGGCAGAATCTTGCTTACATGTGATATTAATGATACTTTCCAATAATTTCCATACTCTTGTCGGGTCACCTTTCTTTGGAATGGGAACAAATGCAGATCTCTTCCAGTCAGTTGGCCAGCTGGTTGTCCTCCAGATTTCTTGGCACAACTTAGCCCATCCAGAGCAGCATCTGCAGGGTTGTGAGAACGGGAGTATATTTTATTTTCAAGAACTGAGAACTGTAGCACAAGCTCATGTGTACACATGTAGTTCTGTTGAGCATTATTTACAATAGCAAAAAGTTGGAAACAACCCACGTGTTCTGCAGCAGATGAATGGCTAAATACTGAAATATCAGGAATTCATGAATCATTGCACAATGTGGATACATCTGGAACACAGTGTACTGTGTGACATGACATAAAGCACTCAGTAATTACAGTACATGACAGCTATTCTCAAAAATTAGAGGTTGACACGCAGGACCAGTGTTGGAGGGATATCAGAGAGAGGAGGGCAAGAGAGAGGGGAGTAAAAATTAATAATAGGCAAAGAAGAGATTGATTAGACATTGTAGTTAATTTCATTTATAATCAATACCAGTATTATAGGAAATAACTATGAATGACTTAATGGAAAAAACCAATGTAATTTGTAAACTTTCACTCAAAAAATATTTGTAGTAACACATCTGACAAGGGACTCTTCTAAAGTGTATGCAAAGCTCCAACACTTCATCAGGAAAAAGACAGATCACCTAATTATCAAGTGGACAAGTAGCAGGAGAAAATTCTTTACCAGAGAAGACATTCGGATGGCCAAAACCGAAGAAATGTGAGAGATCTAATCTAATAAAAATAAAATGTCTCCCTCCAGGAATAATACAAAGCTCAACAAGACAGAGAAAAAAACCAGTGCCTGTGAGAGTGTCGAGAGAGGAGAACACCCGTAAACTCCTTGTGGGGACGTGAAATGGTGCAATCATTGTGGGTATCAGCTTGGTGCAATTTTGTAAAGTTAAAATAGAAAAATACTATGAAATCCAGAAACCCCATATATCCCAAAGAAGTACGAAAGTATGTTCCCATACCTTTCAAAATGTATGCAGAACATATTTTTTTTGTAGGCTAGACTTTATGAGGAGGAATGTGGCATCAGGATTGGAGGAAGACTCATCAACAGCTTTTGTTAGGCAGGTGACACAACCTTACTTGCTAAAACTGGAGAGGATCTGAAGCATTTGCTGCAAAAGGTCAAGGACTATAGTCTGCAATAGGGATTGAAGCCAAACATTAAGAAAACAAACATTCTCACCACTGGGCCATTTGACAGCACCATGATTGATGGAGAAAAGATTGAGACTGTTAACAGTTTCAACTTGACTCTACAGTCAACAGTCAGGAAATCAGAAGACAAATTGCATTAGGGAAATCTGCTGTCCGGGATCTCTCCAGAGTCCTCAATAGCAACGAGGTCAGTCTAGAGACTAAGGTGCACCTGACCCAGACCATGATCTTTGCAGTTAACCTGCTGTATATCAGAGAGCTGGACAGTGACTAAAGATGACAGAAGAAGTATCGATGCTGGAAGTGCTGGAGAATAGTATTGAGCATACCATGGGCTGTCAAGAGAACAGTCTTTTCTGGAGAGAGTGAAACCAAGCTTCTCCTTGGAGGCAAGGATTCTGAGGGTCCACCGCACATACTTTGGGCATGTTACCAGGAGGAACATCATGCTTAGAAGGGAGAAGGAGACAAAGACCTCAGATGAGATGGGTTGACACAGTAACTGAGGTAATGAGAGTAGGTTTGTCAGAGAGACAGTGAGATTGGCTCAGGATAGAGCCAAATTCAGAGCTGTTGTGCATAGGTCACTGTGAGTCGGAATTAGCTCAAGGGCACATAGCAGTGACAACATAAACTAGCATTCACACACTCGTGTTTATTGCAGCATTATATGCAGTAGCAATGAAACAGCCAAGTGTCCCATCAATGGGTGAGTCAGAACAAGAGGCATCCACTAGCTGCTCCTTGGACGGAAGACGATGGGCAGTCTCCTCCCATTCAGTTAACCACTTCTGAAAACCCACCGGAGGGTCAGCTGTGGGTCAGTTTTGACTTGATGGTACACAACAGCAGCAGCGACAAATTACTGAAAGGTCAACGGTAAAAGAGGACTGTACGGAACTGTAATTAATATCTGCACCGAATGGCCAAGCTCAAAGAATAATAGCACATTTTAATATACCACTTTTTATGAAAGACAGAACTAGAGAGAAACTTAACAAAACCTAAAAAATACAGTTAAACCAAGTTCATCTCATAGACCTATATGGAATGCTCCATCCAATGAGAAGCCAATATACTTTCTCACCAGTGAGCTTGGAATATTCCTCAAAATAGACCATGTGTTAGGTCACAAAGAAACCTTAGTAAATTGAAAAACATTGAAATAGAACCGTGTTTTCGAAAAATCACAATTGGGGAAATTAAGTCCATGGAAACTAAGTAACACACAGCTTAAGATCTACTGTTGGTGCTGGTTGCCGGTGAGTGGAGCATGACTCACAGTGACCCTATAAACAAAAGACCTGAAGCCTTTTTGTGACCACTGTCATTTCTCAAAATTCATGGCATTTCCAGAGGCATGTTGTTTAGGAAATGGATGCCATTTCTGATCTGCTAGACAATAGGAAATGAAATTTTAAAATTTCTTTAGGCAAATGAGGAGGAAAACACAATATGCTAAGATGTTTGGGACCCAGCAAAAACAGTGCTGAGAGGGCAAATAAAATCATAGCAATAAGTGTACACATCAAGAAAGAAAGAAGGAAAATAAACACATAAAGAAAACATTACCTATAGGAAAAACCCCACAGTCACCAGAAAAGAGGCAATAATAAAGATTAGAGCAGAAATAAGTACAACAAAAAGCAACAGAAAGAAAAAATAGATAATCCATTATCTCTACTTAAAAAATGAAGCAATAGAAGAAATCAAGGATCCTAAGTTCTTGAAAAGATTTCCATGTCATTGACAAAGAGAAGATGCAAATAACAGTTAAAAGTGAAATGTGTGACATCACAATAGGAAAAACACAAAGGATAATAACACTATTATGAAGAACTGTGACAAATTTTAAAACCTGGAGGAAATGGACATGTTTATAAAACTCACCTGAACCCTGTCTAGGGAGCTCTGGTGGCCTAATGTAAGAAGCTGTGCTGCAATCCCAAATCCACCAGCTGCTCTGTAGAAGAAGAATGAATGGACAGCCTCCTCTCGGGCCATTTACTGTCCACCAGATGGTCAGCTGTGTGTCAACACTACACGGCAACAACAGCAACACAACCTTATTTAGATTAACTAACATAGACCAAGGTAAAAAAATTAATAGACTCAAATTCAAACTAAGGACATACATTACACTGGGAAAATCGACAGGAACCTCTCCAAATTATTGAAGAGTAATGATGTCAGTTTGAGAACTAAGGTGTGTCTGACTCAGGCCATGATCTTCCCAGTTACTTGTTATGTATCTGAGAGGCAGTGAAGAAGGATGTTAGAAGAATTGATGCCTTTGAGCTGTGGTGTTGGAGAAGAGCACTGAACTTCCCATGGACGGCCAGGAGAATGAACAGATCTGTCTTTGGAGGCAAGAGCAATGACGCTTTGCCTTCCATCCTTGGAAAAGGACATGATGTTGGGAAAGGTGGAGGGTGGGCGAAGGAGAGACAGACCTCAGCCTGGTGAATTGATGTGGGTGGTGACGGCTGCAGTGGGCTCTTGTGTGTCAGGAAGTGTGACGATGGCACGGCCTGGCTGCTTCCTTCACTGACCCTTTGCCTTCTTGTTTCCTCAGGTTCTGCCTCGATTCTGCTCGCCAGACCCGGCAAAGACTGTCCATCAACTGGTCCAATTTTAGTTTGAAAAAGGCCACTTTTGCTGCCCACTGAGCGAGGCCCGGGGAGGACGTGGCCTGTGCCTGGTGGCCGAGTGTCGCTGGTGTGCCTGTCGTCTGTGATGCCGGCGTTGGACAGTCGCTTGCGCCAGCTCCCCGGCCCGGCTGCCCAGCGCCAGTGTGGCCGGCCCTGCGGCTCCGTTGCCTCTGCATCTCGTCGTCCTGTCCTGGTCCCTGCGGGCCATCGGTCCCCACCGGCTGTCCGTCACGCTCACGCCCTGCGTCCCAGTTGCCTCGGGGCCTTGGGGCCCTGGGGCCCTGGGGCCAGGGCCGGCGGGCTTCGTCCTCCACCGCGTCCTGTTTGAGAGTCTCCACGTTCCGCTATTTGTGTTTGCCCCCGACTCGTAGCCAGCTTGTGTAAGCACCTGCAGAGTGAGAGTGGGGCGCCTCCCTCCTCACGTCCTCGGTCTGTCCCAGAGTGTACAACTGTATTAACACGGAGGCCTGCCTGGCTACTTTTTAACATATTGTTAAGTAATATTCAAATCATGTCTTTCTTTTTGAAAGATGGAATACATTAGTATGGCAGAAGACCTTGTCTCAGAGCTTTTCTGTTGTTAGGGGTGAGATGTGGAGTGGGGGCCACAGCCTCATGTGGAGGTCCCAGGATCACCTCCCCCTGGGACACCGCTCTTCCGGTCACTGCTGGCAGCCTCCATTTCCTGCTGCCTGACTGACCTCACTGGTGGCTTCCCGGGACGGGGACATGCCAGCCAGTATTCCATTAGTGGTGTTGAGTGTGTGTTACGGGTGTAGTGTGTGGCTTGTACGTGCATTGCAGGGTGTAGCAGGCATGTGAATGTGATGTGTACAACACAAGGTGTAGTATGACGTGGGTATCGCATCTGCATGAGTATGTTGTGTGCTTTAGAGGGTGTGTGGTTGTGTGTGTGTGTGTGTGTGTGTGTGAAAGAGAAGCAGAGTTTATGGTACATGAGTGTGGCATTTGCCAATGTAGCTTGTACCTCTGTGTGCCGTGTGCGTGAGGGTGCCATGTGCCTTAAGCACTGGTGGGTACGTGACTGTGATGTGTGCACATTTAGAAGCTTGTCTGCCCACCATCGTGTGGGTTAAGGAGCCGACGGTAGGTGTGGGATAACATCACCATGGCCTGGCTGAGCAGAGATACTGAATCCATCTCCTGCGGGCTGAGTCTGGTGTGGGTGGGGAGACCAGGCTCAGCAGGCCCACAGCTAAGAGGCAGGTGCCGATCCATGCTTAGCCAGGCTTACCTCCTCCCTTACCCCTGCGTGCTCCTCTCCAAGGGGATTTCCTCCAGAGGAGTGCTCCTCCCCGCGGGCGCTCTTCCCCAAGGGCGCTCCTCCCCAGGGGTGCTCCTCCCGGGGGTGCTCCTCCCCGAGGGTGCTCCTCCCCAGGGGTTGCTCCTCCCCAGGGGTGCTCCTCCCCAGGGGTGCTCCTCCCCGGGGGTGCTCCTCCCCGAGGGCTGGGACCACAGCAGGTGAGAAGGCCGGCCTCTTGCACTACCTAAATTGCCCGTGGCCGGATGTGGGAAGGGCTTGGTGATGGCAGGGAAGGTCTGGATGCTCAGCAGGCTCCCTGGGACAAGGTACGCACTGAACATGTGACCAGTCTGGGATTTGAGAGCTGCTGGTCTAGTCCAGAGTCCATTGAGACCCCAGGAGCCAGTGAGCATCTGAGGGGTGGGCTAATGGGGCAGCGGTGGACAATTGAAAGCACACGTGGAAGGGGCTGGACGGGCAGCAGCCCCCGTTCCTCACAGTCCAGCAGCTGCAGCGGGAACAGGACCGCGGGGAGAGGGCAGCCAGGCCGCCAGCCGGTGCTTTTGTCTCTGCTCTCCAGGTAATGACGGATCCCGTGCCTTTACTCAGCCTGATGGTAAACTGAGGCTAGGGCGTCACCACACAGGAAGCGGTGACCTCCTGTGGGCCTGCGGGCTCTGACACACGTGGGCAGCAGGACAAGGGAGCAGGTAGGTGCTAGCCATGCCCGGCCCTGTGGACAGTCATGAGTCCCACGTTGGACTCCTTTCTCGAGTCTGCATGTGAGGCTGTGCCAGGCTGAAGGAGACAATAAATAAAATGGTCGTCTTTGAAATTCTCCACCTGTGTTATTTCTGTTAGAGGCCCGGAGAATAAAGAATGGAGAGGCCATGAAGGATGCCGTTTGACTTCTCTGGAGAGGCAGAGGCTCGTGGCTGGGCATCCGCAGAGGGCCCTCCAGGATGGGGGAGAATGCTGGTCTCAGGGTGGGGCAGTCTGCCAGTCCTGGGGATGCGTGACCAGCCTGCTGTCCCCTGCCTTCCAGCTGACCCGCTCAGCAACCCCGTGGGCACCAGGTACAAACCCTGTCTGGCCTGCCCCTCACCATCTTGGCCACGCCCAGGCACTGTTCGGTCACTGGGTCACTCCATCTCCCAGAAGTTCTCTTCACTGGCCTTTCCCACCATGACATCATACCCAAAGTATGTGAGGCAGCATTTGACCAGCCTTGTCTCTGACAAGCACCTTGTCATAATTCCTCCAGGACAGATTCACAGTTCTCTCAGTGGTCCGTGGATACTCTTCACCAACGCCACAAGTCAAAGACATCAACTCATTTTCAATCTTATTCTCCAACTTTCACATGCATAGGAAGCAACTGAAAATACCATGAGTTACATCAATCACACCCTTGCCTTCAAATTGACAGCCTTGCTCTTTAGCACTTTAAAGAGGTTCCTGGTAGCAGATTTGCCTAGCGAGAGCAGAGGGTCCTCAGAAGGGTATCATTTTAGCTGTAGGATTAAATTACCCTGAAAGAAACAAAAACTAACCCTGCCCTGGTGCTTAGATGCTGTGCTGCACAGGCTAAGGCCTACAGTTTGAATGTACTCTCTGTTCTGCGAGAGAAGGTTAGGCAATTCACTGCCTCTGAAGACCCACTAGAGAGTCAACTGTGGGCTGATGGTGACTTGACAAAGCCCAAAGCAAACTTCAGGAGTCTGAATGTCCTACATCAGCGGCTCGCAAGAACAAAGTCTGTCAGAATACAGAAAGAGCCATTATTGCTGGTAAAGGTCCCAGTGCCTAAGCACTCAAGATGTGTGACTTCACCAAGGACCAGAACGCAGAGTTAAAGGAGGCTTTCCAGCTGTTTGACCGAACAGGTGATAGAAAGATCCAGAAACAGCCAGTGTGGGGATGTGATGAGGGCCTTGGGCCAGAACCTCACCAACGCCAAGGTGCTCCAAGTCCTGGGAAACCCTGAGAGTGAGGAAGTGAATGTGAGGGTCCTGAATGCTGGGCACTTCCTCCCCCTGCTGCAGACTGTGGCCAAGAACAGGACCAGGGCACCTGTGAGGACCATGCTGAAGACCTTCGGTGTTTGACAAGGAAGGGGACGACAGACACAGAAAGCCAGCACGTCCTTGTCACACTGGGTGAGAAGATGACAGAAGAAGGACAGATGCTGAGTGCAGGGCATGAGGACAGCAATGACTGTACCAACGATGAAGCGTTTGTGAGGCATATTCTGTTGGGGTGACGGGCACATGGGGTGGAGCTTGTCCATCAGAGGACAGCCCTTTCTCTGTCCCCAGAGCCCTGTGCCTTCTCTGTGTGAGAGACCATAGGAGCTTGAAAGTCGCCTCAGCGGCCATAGCACCTTTCCCACCTGGTTCCCTGGACAGTGCTTGCCAGTAGCATTCACCAAATCAATGAGCTCTCTGCAAAACATGAAACCGAAACAACGCCCACTCAGCAAAGCAGAAGTCACGGCTGACATCCAGTCAGAAATGAAAAGCCAAAATAGAAGCCATACGCAGGAGGAATACCAACATATAGAATAGACTCAGAGATGACAGAACTAGCAGACAGCGTTCAATGTGATGAATATGCTCGAGACTGTAGAGAAAGTAAAAACGAGGAGGAGGAAGTATCTACAGAACCAAATGAAGCAAAGCTTGGAGAGGAATAACAGTGTGCGAAGACCACAGGGAAAATAGCCGAGAACTTGGTAACACACCAACAATAACTGTTAGAACTATGTAGCAAAATAGACCAGAGGAGGAAGGGGCCTACCATGTGATACTGTAATCCCAGAAAGTTGGTGAGGGAGTTGCTGGAAGAAACGACAGCCAAGAAGCTTCCAAATCTGAGGAAAGCTAAAAACCAGAATGTCGTCAACCTTCAAGTGGAGTAAATATCTAGAAAACCACACAGGATTTATGGTCTGCTGAAAAGTCCTACGTGAAAACACAAAGGCAAGAGTTCTCCAGACTGGTCAGAAACTGGAAATCGGAGGATGAAGGAGTAACAGCAGAGAACTTGTGCAGAGAGGCACTTGTTAGCCCCAAATACAACTGTGTTCATGAAAGTACGTTGAAAATGAAGATCAAGATGGTGGTGGAGGCAGAGACAACGTGGTGAGCTGCGGGAGCAGCAGACCATTTGGAACAGAGCCACTATGGCCTCCTACAGACTTCTGTTTATTGATAATTGAACAGTTAAACAGTTGATGACTGGTCTTCAGTGAGGATTGAGGCTCAACAACAGGAATTCAAGGAAGAATGGGTGAGTGCCGCAGCTCCCAACCCCCTCCTGCATTGTGCCTCACCGCAGCTGCAGCTCCATGAAGCTCCCACAGCCGGAACCTATGGAATCCCTCGCCCAGGATGGAGAGTGGACACCGGGCCGCCCCAGGACTGGTGCAGTGGAGCTGCCACACTGCGGCAAAGTGGACTGGTTCTGGGGAGAATTCTTAGAGCCAAGATGGCGGTGGCAGGGGAAGCGGACGGCCACTGGCCTCCCGCGTGCGAGATGAAGCGTGACCGCCTGTGTGGGAGATGACGCGTGGGAGATGGCTTGCGCCCACCGGCCACCCATGTGGAAGATGGCAGCCGCCCGGGCTGGGGGATGGCACCCACCGGCTGCCCACGCACGAAATGAGGTTTTGAAAATGAGATAGGCCAGAGTGCAAGGAATGATGTAGCAGGGAAAGGGAAGAGACAAGACGCATGTGTTTTGGGGCGGGGGA